ATTCTGGAGCTCCTCTAGGAAAGAGTTTAAGAGAGGAGTGTTGGATAACCAAGTGGATAGGGTTTAATGAGCCTCCCTGTGTGCAAACGAAGTAAGGCTGGAGTTGGAACACCAGGGAGAGAGTAATCATTGGTCAAAGTTTAACATCATTGCTAATAATTTTAGTCACTTATTTTCATGTCAGTAAGAACCAAAATATGCTTTTATTTTATTTCTGTGTGCAGCATCTTTTTCACCAGATAAGACATAGCCATTAGAATCAAGGCACAAAGATTTCTTTTGGGAGAACTTTTTTTGCAGGAAGCTAAAGGGCAGAAAAGAAAAATCCAGTTTCTGTGCATTCCCCCCAGACATAATGAAGGCCGTCAGTTGTCTTAACTATTTCACATAGAAATGAGTCCCAAGGTTTTGTGATAGTTTAAAATTAAAGGATAAAATGATAAAAATCTAGTAGGAACACAGAAAGATGCCTGACTTTAAATAGGATTTGCGAATCGAAAGAAATACATTTTCTTTTTCTTATTTTTTCCTAAAGAGCTATTACAGAAATCTTCATATAGGAAAGGAGTTATAAAACAGGTAAACACACTAGATTGAGTTTAATAGGAGCACAGAAGAATCAGTAAGAAATTAAGCACTAATTATCCTTAAGCATGTTTATATTATATTCTAGCTTTAAAATAGATACAATATTTATGTGACTTTTATAAGGGTTAAGCCCTTAATATTTGTTGATATCTTTATTACTGCTAGGTATTTTGTACATGAGTAAGAGTAATCACTATTAGAAGAATTTTGGTCTTAGAAAAATGAAAGATTGGACCATTTTTTAATGCAAAGAACTTGTAGAATTATATTAAAGTTTGCCATCTAGTGACAAAAATCTCAAATTACATGCAGCTTCTCCAGGGAAAATCCAGCCCTCGAGGGCAAGCCACTTTATAGTAATTATGTCTTAAAGAAGATGATTATTCTTTTTTAATCTCAGTATTTACACCTTTGAATGAGTGGCTTTCTCTTCAAAATGGTCATTTTCAGATGTCAAACACTTATTCCAATAAAGTTTTCCATTATTAAAACATTTTCTAGAATTCCTCTTAAAAGTTGCCCTCAGGGTTTGGGTCACTATAATAGTTATTAATAAAACCTATCATCATTTATGGAGGTCTATATTAAATACGCTGTTCCCTATCTGGTGGTATCTTCACAAATACCAAATGATGATGTATTTTTATGCCCTTTTCGTAGATGAGAAAAGTTGGGCACAGAAAGATTTAATAAATCGCTCAAGATCACACATACTACATAATTAGCAAGGTAAGAATTTTAAACCAAATTCATCAGATTCAAAATCACTACATTGTGCCACCACCCATTTAATATGGATGTTATTTAAGTTCACATTGTGTCAAATCTTGATTCTAGTGAATATGTTTGATATTAAAACCACAAGAAAAATATTGAAATTAAGCATAATGAAAATAGTTTTCAATAAGATGGGACGTTTGACTTTAGGTCCAAAATTGTCTTATTGAATATTAATCTTAAAGTTTATGTGTTCATGGCTGGGAAATTGGCCACATGGAGAATTCCAAAAGAGAAATTGAAATACATGCAATGCCTCTCAAGTTGACTCATTGATGGAGAGCACTCCATTGAAGAGTCTTACTACTTATTTAAATAACAAAAACTGTATTGTCATAATACAGATCCAACTTAATGGAATGGCTATACAGCAATATAATAAATTCCCATCAATACAAGCGCAACATCATTAAGATTCTTTCCTGTTCCTGTCTTGACTCTTTAAAAAACTGTCAGAATTTGAACATGTCTGCAATAACTTGAGCCAGAAGGTGTGAAACTCCTGTAGAGTATAAAAATGGTTCATCTTAATGATGTTAATGAGAGTTTAGAAGAAATTTTCAAATATACCATGAAAGCTAAAAAGTTCTTCTCCAAAGAAAATATCCTAGAATGATGACCATACATTAAAAGCTCTAGTAAGCCAAGAGTATATTTCAGACATAATCTTCATTTTAACCTAAATAAATAAATTACCTAGAGTGGGAAATTATTTAATTTATTTTTATTACAAGCTAACATTTTTATTGTATTTACTAGGTATGAGCTAAGAGCTCACATTGATGATTTGTTTTAACTCTTAAAACAAGTCTACGAGGCAGCAGTATCCTTTTGTAGTGGATGCTGTGTTAAGCTGCCCAGATGGATCCAGGTCCAGCCCCCTTTCAGGACCAAGGCATTTATCCCCCCAGCTGCTGAAAGTGTTGGCTGCTAAAGGCTTTCACCTGAGTCTCTCTCTGGGACATGCCCTGGAGCCAAAAGGACAGCCTCCCTCAAGTTTTTGCCCCTCCTGGTGAAGAGCCCACGGCTATTGACTGGTCAATGCCCTGGCACAATAGCCCAAATTCTTGCATTAATTTGGGAGACTTCTGAAGGGCCACCCTCACTCCAGAGCTACTGGGCATGAGTTAAGGATTATGGTACAACTGCTTTTCACTTCAACTTCCTTCCAACCCTGCTTCTCTCATTTTCTTAGAGGTGCCTCTGAGAGCAACCCCCAATAAACCTCTTGCAGGCAAATCTCCACAACAGTCACTTTACAATGAACTTGACTTAAGACACATTTCTATCACATTAATGAAGAAACTGAAATCTAGACACTAAGTGATTCAGCAGTATTCACACAGATAACAATGAGTGAAGCTAGGATTTTAGGTTAGAAAATCTGACTCGAGTCCCTGCTTTTAATCATTATGCCATTTTACCTATGCCTTTAAAAGCACCATATCATTTTCGACATAATCATAGTGTGGCATTCTTAGGAGAAAAAATGGCATTGTAACAGTACCAAAAGGTTAGCCAGGAAAGTAAGATTTACCGTGAGAAGAATATCTACATTTAACTCACATTCTCAGAATATGGTCACACAGTCTCTTCTACAGTTTATATCTGAATGTCTTGGAATTATGAAACTGTAATAAATTTTATGAAGCTCTTCATATATCTAGAATATACCCAAGAAATACAAAAGAGGCTTTTTGAGAAAATCTACAACCTGTGGTAATTTTGATTAGTTAATAAAGATTGGCATCATGTCTTTACAGTAAGCCATGCATTGAACTTCTTTTTAAGCAAGTACGATTATTTATCTGATTGAAATATTAAAAAACAGGTGTACTGGCAGGAATGAACCAACAAAAAATAATGAACAAATTTCATGGTGTATTTAGTGGGTTGTAAATAAAGTGCCATCTTGTAAATAATCCTCATCCTTAATGCCTTCTGCTTACAAAAAGGAGAGAAACTTGGAGGAAATATAGTTAAAAAAAATATAAAAATGAAAAAACGTCTCTCAACCCAGAAAACCTCTTCTCAAGGTAGTGAAGAGTGAAAACAGTTATATTATTGAATAAACACTAAACCAGAATGTGATGCACACTTCAGGCAATCTGCTAAGAAATTGGAAAGACAGAAAGAAATCTCGTCCTTTTATATAGCCAAGCAGATACAACCCATTGCATACATTTCTTAAGATCAATAATAATTAGTCTTCAAGTAAAGTACTTGGCAGCACCTTTTGTCACAAATAGTTCATGCTAAGTTTACCTTATCATTGAGGTGACCATCTGTGTTAGCTTATTAACTTTATCCTGAGGAAAACCAAACTTCTCCTATCTTTCTGACAGGAGGTTGTTTTGCAACTTGGAGCAAGGTGCCCACTGAAGTTAGGCTCCTACCCTCCCACAGAAACTGAGAGAGAGGGACATTGTCTTTCTTGATGACTGCATTTCAAGGGAGGGTTCCCAAGTCCTTGAGAAAAACATTCCTGGGTCACAAAGCTGACAAAATGCCTACCTGGTTTTCAAGGAGAGAAGGAAGTCCTTACAATTACAAGCTGTCTAAAGGAAATGCTCTCAGAAAAAGCAGAGGAGGCAATCTCTTCCTTCTTTTCAACGGAGAGAATTAAGCTTTTTATTTTTCATTTATATGTGTCCTTACAAAAGCAGCACTTAGGGACCAGTAGCCCAGGCAGATTGCAGATTCTGAAGACTCTACAACCATTCCTATTTGCTTTTCCTTTCTCTTAATGAATAAAGATATCATTTGGGACTCAGCGTACCTTGCTGCTTCTAAATCCCTTTCTGGAAAATGTTGTTTATTCTTTTCAAAGTATTTGTCACCAGAGCCAAAATAACCTATTCTGTGTAGAGAAGGGTAGAAAAAAACAGACGTTTGCCAAGAAAAGTGGAAATATAGGGTTGCACCAAGAATGTTAATTATACTCAAGAAAAGAGTGAAGAAAGAATGAAGACACCATTTGATTTGTGATATTTCAGATTGGCACAGTGTACAATTGTTTGACCTTCAATGACTTTCTTTATTCCCTCTTAGAAATATTAACCTATATCAAAATAATGCAACAGATTATTGCATTTCTGGACAAAAACAGTATATTTAATGTGGGTGTGACATATGTTTCACCCTGCTTCCCTGTTCCTGATAGCCATTAATACTTAACTTAGTCCATTTAGAATTAATTATCTAGGAGTCAATGCTCCAATGACAATATTTTTAACTTAGAGCAAGCATCACAGATGGCTGAGCATAAATCTCTCTTTCTTTGTTCCTTTTAAACATAATGAGTCCTTTGTCTCTTTGGAGAGAAAAATTTTTATACATCATATCCTATAGTTGTATCCGTCAACAATAAGACATACATAGATGCTATAAGAATAATGTTTGAGAGGTTGAGTGGAAAGACAATATTTGAAAAGATGTCACTTTAACACATACTTCTTTTCTGTTAAAATACATTCCGCAGAACAAAGCTCAGAACCCCATAGAAATCAATTCCCAAATGGGTCTGCACGCCCTCAAGGCCACATCCCTGCTCTCTTGTCACTAATAGTATTGACAGCCGGTAGTTCCTACCTGGAGACAATTTCTCTTCTCACTGCATATTTATTGCAACATACCTTGTTGTAGTATTGACCTTACACCATGAGGAAGCAGTGAATAAGAGCCAGCTCCCCTGGGTCCTGACAGATGGTTTTAGCATTCAGCTTCGCTATCAGCACAGGACCTGGCAGCATATGCAAAACAAAAGAACATTAGCCTCTGAAGGGAAAATGAAATGTTATCTGAATTAAAGGGGCAATGTAGCAATTCACATACAATATTTGTGCTTAATCCTGAGTTTCAAGGATAAAGTATCTTCAGTTGCAAAATAATTCTGCAAATCTACAGGCAGGGAATATAAGTGGGCCAAATATGTTTACTACTGATTTATGGGCCAAAGTGAACCACGCCTAGCCAAAATATTCACATGATTCTAAGCTCTGCTTTTATTAAGTAAATATTATCAAAATATCCATAATATTTTACTTTTATGTAAAATATAAATAGCTAAACAAAATATTATTTATTGAATACACAAATTTTGTGGTGTTTAGGCAACACACCATTAACACAGCACATTGAAAACTCAGTGAAATGACATTGATGGGCTCTCAATGTCAAGTGACTGGACATTGTAAACACTTTTAAATGAGATTTTAAATTTTAACTCATTAGAAAAGGACATATTTAAAACAATGGGTATTTATCTTCCTATTGATGTGATATTCCAGGCACAAATTTGAATTACATTTTTAAACTCAAAATATTGAATCTTCTGGGGCCGGCCCCATGGTGTAGTGGTTGAGTTCGTCACACTCCACTTTGGCAGCCAAGGTTTGCAGGTTCAGATCCCAGGCACAGACCTACACCACTCATCATGCCAAGCTATGGCACTGACCCATATACAAAATAGAGGAAAGATTGACACAGACATTAGCTCAGAGCTAATCTTCCTCAAGTGAAAAAAAAAGAGGAAGATTGGCAACAGATTTTAGCTCAGGGAGAATCTTCCTCAACAAAAAAAAAAAGAAAAGAAATGTTGAATCTTCTATGACCAATCTTCCATTTGCATTCCCACTCTTACTGGTTCCTAATGTCCTAAGTGGACCTCCCCTCCCACCCTGCCTTTTACTTTATCTCCCTGCCTCCCTTTCACCCCTACTCCAATCCATTCTTCATTTTCTCAGCAGTGTTGTCTTTTCCAAACACAGATCTGATTATGCCACTTATCTGCTTAAAATTTCCCAATGGTACTCAGTTTCCTAGAAAATAATGTTCAAATCTCTTAGCAAAAAATTCAAGACCTTTCATAATGTGGTTTCTGTTTACTTTTTTCTACTCACATGACTGATTCTTATCCCAAGCTTTATTGAATTGCCCTGTAGTAACCATATCGTAGTAACCATATCATAGTAACCTATGAAGATCCCCAATGATCCACACCCCATCTTAGCAAACTAGAGAAAGAGAGAGACTTTCCCTTCCTGGCTCTAAAGAAAGAAGCTGCCATGTTGTGAGAGAGCCTATGAAGAGGACTTCATGGCAAGGAACTGTGGGCGGCATGGAGGAGCTGATTGTGGTCCATGGCCATCAACCAGCAAGAAAATGAGGACCTCAGTCAAACAACTACAGAAGATGAATTATGCCCACAACCTGAGTAAGCACAGAAATGGATTCCTCCCCATTCCAGGCTCTGGATGAGAATGCATTATGCCTGAAGCCTTAATTTCAGCCTCGTGGGATCACGAGCTAAGGATCCAGCTAAACTATGCCCAGACTCCTTACTCACAGAAACTGTGAGATAAAAAATGTGTTGTGTCAGGCTGCTAAGTTTGTGGTAATTTCTTTATGCAGCAATAGAAGACTAATACACACCTTTAGTCCCTTGAACATACACTTGTTCATACCTCTAGCCATTGCTCATGCTGTTATGTCCTTGTCACTACCTCTGACGAAAAATCTCCTGTGCGTGGTTGAAATTCTACTTCATCTCCTGCTCTTTGAAGCTGTCACTGGTCTAAAATTTTGGAATCAAACACTTTTTTTCTAGACTCTCATACAACTCTCATAGGTCAAATACAGTATCTTGTATAATGTATTCTTGTTAAGTGCTTGTTTCTTTACCTCTCTTCCCCCCACGTTCATGCATGTATCTAGGTGTACACATGCAAAGAAATATACACAAATCATAGTCTAATACTGTAAAAGAAAAAGTCTTTGAGTCATTTCTGTTTCTCCGCTACCAAGCATAAGATCTTGGTACATGTTTATGTGCATTAAACGAATATTACGGTCACTTTTTTCATGTAATAATAATAACTATTATCATCTAATAATAATTATAACAATAATTCTGTCACTAATAAACACTATGTCTCAGGCACTGTGCTAAAACACTTTATATATGTTTACATTAACCCTCATGAGATAAGTGTAATTACCCACATTTTAAAGTTGAAAAAGCTGGAACTTAAAACGTGTAGCTGGACTTGTGCTATTTTTAGATTCTCATCATCTTTTTATAGCCTTCCCTTTTTTTAACTATGTTTCCTTTGGTGAACTCCCCTCATTTCACAAAATCAAGGCAAGGCAATCTGCCATGAACACCAGTTCTCTCCTGCCATTTTGGGAAGTCTTGAGTCCCAAGCCAGGCCAACCAGGCTCTTTCCTCAGATTAACTAGACTATTCCTTCAGATTTGAAATGAGGATAACAAGAGACAGCGCACCATTCTTTACCTTGCATACACACACAGGGTGTGTGTGGAACTGCTAGCAGCCATTTTTCTGGGCATTAAGGAAGAAACTGCACACAGATTAAAATCAATACATTGAGAATATCAGAACCAAGACATATAGGAAGAAACAGAAGCTTGCCTAACAGGTTTGAGCTCCTGGATTAAGCAGTTGCTGAGATGAATCTTACTCCTGACCGATATATGAGTTAATAATTCCCTTTGTGCTTGAGCTAATCCACCTTGGATTCCGGAAAATGCAAAGCTGAGTGTCTCACTAAGAGCAGATGATCAATCAGCATCTGAACTCAGCTCTGACTGAGTCCAAAGTTCATGTTTTTATAAGAATTTCTTGCTTTCTCTCCCCGCATAGAATGTAAATTCTTAAAACGTGTAAATTCTTAATAAGAACCCTGAATTGAATGTCCTTATATACAACTATATTATCAAAGTGTCACGATTTTAATAATAATTTATTGTGCTCATGAAATAAAAATGCTTACAAGAATACTAATTAATTACTTGATACCTTGTCATACCTGTGTGCTTTTAGTTATATTATTATGGATTGACAATAATTATGCGTGAACTAACTAATAAGCAGGGGTAGAAACCTATACTTCACAAGTTTTTCTGTCAATAAAAAGTCAAATAAGACTGGAGTTTCATGCGGGTTGGTTTATAGAGAAGTGAAGGACACAGAGAAATGCAAGAATCCGATGCTAAAGTGTCTACCTAGTGTAGGAATGCGTATCTGAAGCTTTCTTTAGACACTTGGAGAAGAGAGCAACAGCGGTTGACCCAGGAGATAACAATCACAGGACACCTGGGAACCATTTGACACCCTGCACTTTTTCCTATGTGTATGTATTTTCACAATAATATTATTTTGGAAATTAAGAAAACAAAGGGATAATTCTCCTTTTGAAAGGGCTAACAATGTTTAGCTATTTTAATTCCATCTGTTAATGAATTTTGTTTTTAAAAATACCACAGGGCCTGAGGAAGAAAATGAATCTTTCCTGGACTGCAGAAAATGCCGATTTCACTTGATTGTGCAGACAGAGAAGGCATTCGCCTCTGCATTTTTAATTTTCTGCTCCCTTTCAATAAAATTATTTCCATAATAATTTGAAGCATAAGTTATACACAACATAGCCAACCAGATAGCATCACTGTCATTTGAATAATAGATCCATCAAAAAGGATATATGCATTTTTTTCCTGAGATGAAAGGCAATATGCTAATTCAAAAAGCTGTTTTAAAAACCTGAAGAATGAAGATATTCAGCAAACTAGATAATTTAAAATTAAAAGCAGAACCAGACACAGCATTCAGTCTTTGAAAAATAAGTGTCACTTCAGTAGCTGATGCGCTTTTTGAGCTGCAATATTTTTTTCCTTTTTTCTATTGATATTGAAATCATGAAAATTACAACAAAAACTTCTTTTTTGTTGTACATAATACTTACGTAACTTTCCTAATAAACCACAATTTCCATCTATCAATGAACTACAAGGTATTATTTACTGCATATAAAGATAAGTTTAAAAATCTCAAACCTATGGTGAGTTTCAGGGCTGCAGTTAGCATGCAGACTCAAATTCAGCCATTAGTTTTATTTCTACTTAGATTTCCTTTACTCAATGTGGCATAATTTTCTGATGAATGACATTGAATATAGATAAGCAGACTAAATATTTGAGAGTCCTGTGATCCCTTTGTTGAACTTTTTCTTTGAGATCCCCTTAAAATAGCCATTTTGTGCTGCAGAAATAGATCAAGAAAAAATTTAAAAGCACTCATCTTATCTAAAATGATAGGAAAGGTGTACCACCCTTAGACTAAAATGAAGTTTGAATTAAGAATACGGATAGATAGAACATATAATGTTAAGGTCGGAAGGTACACAAAAGATCATTAAGACCAACTCTTTCATTTTATAAGTGAGGAAAATAAGTTCTATAAACATCCCTGACTTTCCTGGAGTTATAAGAAAAGAGTTAACTTCTTGCCTCTCCCTCAGTCATCAACCCAGATGTTACAGGTGGAATTGTGCTCCCCTACCAAAAAACATGTTGAAGTCCTAAACCCCAGGACCTCAGAATATGACCTAATTGGGAAAAAGGTTGATTGCAGATGTAATTAGTTAAGTTAGAGGTCATACTGGAATAAGGTAAGCCCCTATTCCAACATAAGTGGTGCTTTTACAAGAAGATAGCCACACAAAGATGGAGACAGGCAGAGAAAATGTCATCTGACTACAGAGGCAGAGATTGGAGGTATGGTTGTAAGCCAAGGAAGGCCAAAGATTGTCAGTAAACCTCTAGAAGCTAGGAAGAGGCAAGAAGGGTTCCCCTAGATATTTCAGAGGGAGCATGGCCCTGCTGACACCTTGATTTCTTACTTCTAGCCTCCAGAACTGAGATGTGATAATAAATTTCTGTTGTTTTAAACCACCAAGTTTGT